CAGGCCGAGTAGTTCGCCTTGGGGAGCCCCGATCCTGTTTGTCAAGAAGAAGGACGGGTCGCATCGCATGTGCATAAATTACCGGGAGTTGAACAAGGTAACGGTGAAGAACCGTTACCCACTCCCGAGGATAGATGATTGGTTCGACCAACTTTAGGGAGCGTCTTGGTTTTCCAAGATAGACTTGCGGTCAGGATATCACCAGATGAGGGTCAGAGAGGAAGATGTACAGAAGACTGCTTTTCGGACTCGGTATGGCCATTACGAGTTCGTGGTGATGCCTTTCGGGCTCACCAACGCTCCTGCCGCGTTCATGGATCTCATGAACCGCGTGTGCAGGCCGATGTTGGATCGGACCGTGATAGTTTTCATTGACGACATTTTGGTTTATTCCAAGACGCAGGAGCAGCATTAGGAGCACTTGCGAGGGGTGTTAGATACCCTGCGGAGGGAGAGCTTGTATGCTAAGTTCTCAAAGTGCGAGTTCTGGTTGCGGGAGGTGCAGTTTCTTGGGCACCTTGTCAACCAGAAAGAGATATTGGTTGACCCGACCAAAGTGGAGGCCATGATGAGATGGGAGGATCCGAAGTCTCCATCTGAGATTCGGAGTTTCCTCAGATTGGCAGGCTATTATCGGAGATTCATTCAGGACTTTTCCAAGATAGCCGTACCTCTGACCCGGCTGACGAAAAAAGTTGTTGTCTTTCGCTGGGGCCTGAGCAGCAGGCAGCGTTTGAGACATTGAGACAGAGACTATGTGAGACGCCGATCCTCGCCCTGCCCGAGCGCGTGGAGGATTCCGTGGTGTACTGTGATGCGTCCATTTTAGGTTTAGGCGCAATCTTGATGCAGAGAGGGCATGTCATCGCCTACGCCTCGAGGCAGCTGAAGCCTCACGAGGCGAACTACCCGACGCATGATTTGGAGTTGGGGGCGATCGTCTTCTCCCTCAAGATTTGGCGACACTACCTCTATGGGGTCCGCTGTACCATCTACACGGACCATAAGAGTTTAAGGTACCTCATGGATCAGCCGAATCTGAACATGAGGCAGCGTCGGTGGTTAGACGTGGTGAAGGATTACGATTGTGAGATCCTTTACCACCCGGGGAAGGCCAATGTCGTGGCCGATACGCTTAGCCGTAAGGAAGCGCCGATCAGGGACATCTGCATGAGGATGACGGTGGTGACTCCGCTTTTGGAGCAAATCCGACAGGCCCAGCTAGAGGCCATGAAGGAGGAACATCGGAAGAGCGAGCGTATTGTGGGTCAGGTTTCCTCCTTCGACTATGATAGCCATGGGTTATTGACGCTACACCGTTGGGTGTGGTTTCCCTATCATGGGGGTGTACGCCAGGTTCTGATGGAGGAGGCGCACAAATCCCGATTCTCGATTCATCTCGGGGCGACGAAGATGTACAGGGATCTTCGACCCGATTACTGGTGGCCCTGCATGAAGCAGGACGTCGCCTGGTACGTAGAGCGATGCTTGACCTGCAGGAAGGTCAAGGCCGAGCACCAGAGGCCACACGACAAGATGCAGCCGCTAGACATTCCTATGTGGAAATGGGAAGATATTACTATGGATTTCATCACCAAGCTTCCCAGGACTGCACGGGGAGTGGATTCGATTTGGGTCATCGTGGATCGGTTGACCAAGAGTGTCCATTTCATACCGATCCAGGAGAGCATCTCGACCGAGAAGTTGGCAGATATCTACATCTACTCGACGGAGTGCCAGTCTCCGTGATTGCGGACCGAGATGTGCGGATTTCGGACTGAAGTTTGGAGGATACTCGCTGCAGCCGGATGCAGAGTTCAGACTTTGGAGGTAGATGGGATACCTACCTTCCATTAGTTGAGTTCTCCTACAACGCCAGCTATCACGCGAGTATCGATCGTCCTCCCTTCGAGATGTTGTATGGGAGGAAGTGCAGGACCCCGATATGTTGGGGGGAAGTCGGACAGAGGGTAATGGGGAGCACCGAAGTGGTGCTCAAGACGACAGAGAGAATTCATCAGGTTAGGAGCAGGCTTCAGACCGCTCAGAGTTGGCAGAAACGTTACGTCGACAAGCGCCGATCAGACCTGGAGTTCCAGGTCGGGGATATGGTCCTCCTGAAGGTGTCGCCTTGGAAAGGTGTCATCCGATTCAGGAAGCGGGGCAAGTTGGGCCCCAGGTACATTGGACCTTTCAAGGTTGTAGCCCGGGTGGGCAAGGTGGCATATAGGCTGGACCTGCCAGCCGAACTCAGTCAGATTCACAGTACGTTTCACGTCTCCCAGTTACGGAAGTGTTTGGTGAACGACTCAGTAGTGGTACCCTTGGAGGATATTTAGGTGGATGACAGCCTGAATTACATCGAGCGGCCAGTAGCGAACCTCGACAGGAAGTCGAAGGACCTGAGGAACAAGAGAGTGGAGCTGGTGAAGGTGTAATCGCAACACCGCAAGGGATCGAAAATGCACTTGGGAGCCGGAGGATGAGATGAGGGAGCACTACCCCGAGCTTTTTCCAGAATCAGCAGCAGACTTCGAGGACGAAGTCTAAAATAAGTGGGGGAGATTTGTAGCACCTGATTCCTGGTACGTATTTAATTTCATTGAAATGTTGCAATTTACTCTGGGACTCGGCGAGTTGGAGGCTCAACTCGTCGAGTAGACTCGACTGTTGGATCGGGGGTTTAAGTGACCTACTCGACGAGTCGAAAGACCGACTCGACGAGTAGGAGTTGTCTGGACAAAACCCTAATATTTAGGGTTTGCACCCTATTTAAACACTTTATCTCGTCCCAAACCAGCCTCCATCACCCTCCCAACACAGAGAAACCCTAGATTGAAACCCTAAACCATTATTGAGTGTTCTTGAAGCTTGTTGGTGACCTTTTTTGTGCATTTGAAGTTGGAAGTGAAGAAAGCTTAGGAGTTGAAGGGGAAGCTAATAGATCCATAGGTTTTGCTTCATTCTCAGTTCATTCAAGGTAAAAAGCTTCAACCTTGACCATCTATCTCCAAGATCTTGTTTTGCGGCTATTTTCTACCTTTTCTAAGCTTTTGAGAGGCTATGCTCAGATTTGATTGTATATGTGGGTTTATGCTTCAGATCTGGAACCATTGAGGGTTCCCATGGCATAAAGGTGCCAACTTTATGGCCATGGGAAGCCCATGCACCATATAAACCCCATTTTATAGCCTTTTGAGCCAAAAACCCCATGCATGGACATCAAGTTCGTAGCTTTACGTATAAAAGGGACCCTAGGAGGTCAGATCTATGATTGGGATGCATTAAGACCCACTGAAATCGACTATATAGTTTTGGACAAAGAGGGACTCGGCGAGTCGGGACAATTTTTCCCCCAAAGCGTCTCCTGGAAATGGTTTTGGTTGAGTGGAAGGAACACTCAGCCTGATAGGGGTTTGTTTTGGACCTGGAAATCATGGGACTCGACGAGTGTATGAACAGACTCGACGAGTCCAAGGCAATCTCCCAACCCTTGAAGACGGACTCGACGAGTTGTTCATACAACTCGGCGAGTCATAGACTGAACACGTTAGTATGAGGGATATGAACTCGACGAGTTCAAATGGAACTCGGCGAGTCGGTTGAAGATGGTCCTAATGCTATGGATGAAGGCGAACTCGTCGAGTTCTTGCTAGACTAGATGAGTAGAGTCGGGGGTTGTATCACCTGAAAGGATAGGGCCTCGACGAGTTGGTGGACCAACTCGGCGAGTCAAGTCAACTGGATGTTGACTTTGACCATGGATTTGACTTGGGACGTTAACTGGGATTGAGTGACCCTTGTAAGGGTTATGAGTATGAGTTGATAATTTAGAAGAGTTGTCGTGTAGGGACTGAGGAGTCGGGGAGAGTCGATTTCCACATCGAGATCAGTGCAGACACTACGCGACCACGAGGTGAGTTACCTTCCAGTAGCGGTGGGTCTACGGCCACAATGCCGGCCCACCAGTAGGAGTTGTATGTTAGATGATTGTCTTTGTGATATTCATCTAGGTTTGCTACTACCTGATATGTTTATGTGCTAGCATGATATGTTATATGTGATAGTGGTAGTAGGGGGAGAATAGTCCCCAAGTTCGGTCGTTAGGACCGAAGGGTAGGTCGGGCACCCCAGAATTGCCTGACAGTATGTTTATGTTATGGTATTATGTGGTAGTAGTAGGAGGTGAAATAGTCCTCGGATGTCGGACGAAATAGACCGACGGGTAAGTCAAGCACCCCAGAATAGCTTGACCTGGGTAAGTCAAGCACCCCAGAATGGCTTGACCTGGGTAGTCAGGCACCCCAGAATTGCCTGACAGTATATGTGTGTTATATTATTACGTGGTAGTGGTAGGGGGTGAAATAGTCCCCGGTAGTCGGGCGAAATAGACCGACGGGTAAGTCAAGCACCCCAGAATGGCTTGACCTGGGTAAGTCGAGCACCCCAGAATGGTTTGACCTGGGTAGTCAGGCACCCCAGAATTGCCTGACAGTATGTTATTGTATGGTGTGTGGTATGATGGGGGAAATCACTAAGCTTCGTGCTTACAGTTTTTAGTTTTGTTTCAGGTACCTCTTCAGTGAAGGGGAAGGAGCCGACGCGGTAGCGGCACATCACACTCGCGCATGATTTCCGCATTGAGTTTTCTGGGATTGTACTATGATTATTATTATTATTCGATAATATGTTTTTGAGACACGACGTAACGATTTTATGAATTAATATAATATTAGCAATGATTGATAAATGATTTTACATGTTACTTAATTAAAAATGAAATTTTTTTTCCTTGAAAATTGGGATGTTACATGTGACTTGAGTACTAAAGACCCCAAAAGATGTGTTAGAGCATTTGGTAACACAATGGAGCATTTTGATTATGGATATAGTTTTTGGTTAAAGTGTTGGAGTTGTGTCAAATGCGCTCCATGTAAATGCGTTGGAGGTAGGGTAATGCACTTCATGCCAAATGTACTCCAACATGAGGGATTAGGCTAATGCGTTATAGGATTTTCCAATGGACGCATGGTCTAATGCTCTCCAGCATGGCCAAAGGCGTTGGGTTGGTGCATGATGTGTTAGGATGGCTTGGAATTTTAAGAATGCACAAGCTTTCGGTGAAGGTGCTCTCTAGTGCAAATGTGCTCTTCTAGTGAAAATGTATTTTCTGTTGTAAATGTGCTCTTTGTGCAAATGTGTTCTCTAGGTGTAAAGGTTCTCGGTCAAAGGTGCTTTGAGTTGCATGACGTCTTGTGATTGGTTAACATTTGGGCCTAAAAATGGATGGATTTAATGTGTGGTCCTTTTAAAAATCTTTAGTCTGTCTTGATTGTATTTGTATTGTTTATCATTGATTGAACTCGTTAATAAGAATACTCCCTCATTGCATGTGGATGTAGGTAATACTGACTCTGACTCAACCACGTTAAATATTATATCTTTTGTGTGTGAATTTTCTTGTTTATTCATGACAATATGGATTCCCATATATACGCAACATGTATCAATACACGAGTATTTGCTAGTGCACCCCCATTGCACCGTTTATCATTATCATGCTTCTAGTTCAATTTTTACACATACAATTATATGTGGGTATATTCTCATATTACCTTTTCGACTAAAAAAATTGGCAAATGATGTATACCCTTATCCAATTAATATCACTCCAAACAAATTTTAGATAATGTACACAATCATAAGAAGAAAAAAAAACTTTCCTTTTTAGTTTTCCTATAAATGAATAAACCATGATGATGATCAGAACCTAAAAGTCAAACAACTATATATATCCAAATGATTGTTTTAAAACAGAGGAAGTAATACTATACCAATATACCCACATGGTGAGTTACAAATTTTACATGATTCATAAATGCATCATATGTCAACCCTTAAAACATTTTTAATCAACAATTCAAATTTTCAATATTAATTACGAAGGAAAAAAAATCAATATCTTAAAAAAAATGTGTATTAAAATTTAAAGAATTATTATTTATTTATTTGATTTGTATAAAATAAAATGAATTTGCTGTAGGTTGGTGAAGCGGCCGGTTTGTTAGAAGTGGACGCACTGGCATTGCTGTTGTGAGGGCGCTTTGTGTATCTCTAACGGTTTCAACGTCCGCCTCAAGCAACTCTTTTCACGCCCTCTCTTAATTATAATCCTCTGTTTCTCCCACTCTCACACCATCAATCTCCACTCTCCATCTCACACACCCAATCCACTTCCGCGACACACCGGATTTCTATCCCACCTTCCTCTTTTATACCCCATCTTACATCACCAAATTCAATTCCTAAATCCTCCATCCTTCTCTTCAAGGTATGTTCTCTGTTTTTTTAATCCAGAGTAATGAGTACAAAATTACAATGAAGTAAGTATCATGATACTAAGATTGTGTTGAGAAGTGTTTGTTTGTGTGATTTTTGATAAGTTGTTGATGTTTGATCGAGTTTTTTTACGTCCGCTCAAGTATGTGATTTCTGATTTGTTGTTTGTGATTTTGATGCAGAGATATAAATTATCGGTAGTTTGTGTGTAATGGAGATGGAGAAGAAGGATATAGGTTCATCGACGATCGCCATGGACTCTGTTGGTTTCGATAATGAGAGTAATAATTTATCTGGAAATCTATTCATGTCTTCTATTGCGTCTCAGAATGATCAATCAGATTTCGATTTCGGTTCTGGTGAATTATTCAATCCTGCATCGTTCTGTTCCTCGATTTTCCCGCCAAAATTCATTTCGCAGTCACAGCTGTCGTTCTCTTCTCCTTCCGACTGCTCGTTCGATGACGACGCTTTCAGCGCCAATGCATACGCAACCGAGAATCGACTTAGTCAAGCCAGCTTCATCCTCGAGTACCAGCAGCTCTACAATTGCTACACCGTGTGTCTCACGAGCCTCCAGGACTCTGTCAAAGAGGTTGACGCTCTTCGTCAAGAGAATGAAGCTCTCCGCGTCGCTAATGGCGATTTGGTGCAGAGGTTGAACCTGTTCTCGCAAGCGACGATGCAGAACCGCCTCGCATCCTCTGTGCGTTCTTCCTCGTCTCCGTCGTCTACCTTAATCGGAGACTTCAGTCGTCTTGGCATCGGATCTCCGTTTAGTGAAAGCAACGCCTCTGTTGAAAAAGTTCCTAGCGTAAGTCCGACGAGCGTGATCGAACCAAAACAGTTTACGAGGCACAATGGCGAGAGAGTTTCAATGCCGAAAAGCATTTCTGTTCGTTCCAAGGGTTATCTGAAATCGGTTCCTTCTCAACGACCGAGTCGCCAACAAGCTCCAACTGCTCAATTAGGTCAATCGGTAAGTCGCTATGTGATCTAAATTCTAAACAATGCTCATCGTTCATACATTTCCAATACCTAATCCGATATAACTTCAAGCACGATTAGTAACAAAATTTGTTTGTTAGACACAGCAACGTGTACGTGTGTCTAGGGAGAAGAAATCACGAGAGGGATTGGAATTCGAGGTCTACAATCAAGGAATGTCGAAGACTGAGCTCTGCAACAAATGGCAGGAGACCGGAGCTTGCCCTTATGGAGACAATTGCCACTTCGCACATGGAATAACTGAATTACGACCAGTAATAAGGCACCCTCGCTACAAAACGGAGGTCTGCCGTATGGTCCTCGCCGGCGACATCTGCCCTTATGGTCATCGTTGTCACTTCCGCCATTCTCTCACTGATGAAGAGATGCTTCTGGGCCTGAATCCACGCTGATTAATTGAGGAGTGAGGTTATGTAAATCAAATTAAAGGTCTGTCTTCTTCGATCTTTTAATTTCATGGAATCTAAAATAAGTAATTGTGTAGAGTAATTAAGTATATACCCTAGAAATTGATGATTATACATACCATTTTAAGAGATTCCCCTTTCGAGATTGTAGCCATTGTTATTGTTATGTATCAATTTTTACAAGTTAAGATGTTCTTCTGTTAAGGTTACAATTCTCGATAGGGTTCTTGTAATTGATTTGAGAATTGATACACGATCAATCTAAATTCTAAAAGTAAAAGCTGATTCAAATTGGGATCAAAAAGAATTTCAAATCGATGGTTGATTTTTAGTTTGAATATTATTGCTATTATTAATTGAACTACCAGAAGAATAAAAAGGTTGATGAGGGTTTTGCACCCACTTTTAAGTAACTTTCAACGCATCCTTTCATATTCTTAACATTGCATGTTGTTGAGTTTCTAGATCATGTCGGACTTACTTATGACTTATGATCCAAGTATTCAAAAATCATGAGTGATTTTGTGCACAACTTGTTCTATCTGTGTATTGATACAAGATTTATGCATTCATGTATGTACTCTTGTGTGTTTTCATTATCTAAATTGTACGTAAAAAACTAACATCTATTATCTGAATGTTGTTCTTTTTGTATCTTGACTTGTAATATAATAGATGTATGTTAATTATAGATAGTTACTTGCTTACATTACAAATATAAAAAGAGCATACTATCATACTTACAATATACAAATCAATTTAATGGAAAAAGTAAAGCGGTTATGTGGTATGTCATTGTCACATTGTCTTTTTTGAAAAAATTTCTTATCATAGAGTTTTATTGTAATATAGTTATAGACATTTCTTTTTATATTTTATACACTTATATTAATATCTATTATTATTTCCCTTGCTAGGGGACTAGGGGTGTTCATATATGTTAATCGAACCAAATCTTATTTCAAAAAGATTTATGAATTTCTTGAACCTAAAACCTAAAGTGAAAAAACAAATTAACTGAATTTTTGGTTCGACTATTATTTCAAAATTATATACTCCACGGCTAATTTCCAAAATAAAGAGAAATTTTCAACATAATTTTTTTTTAAAGTCTAAAATGGTAAATTTAACTTTCAAGTGTGACACACACCACCAACAAAAACGGACAAAAGTAGATAATTGTGTATTGTCGTTGTCTTGTAATATTGTACTTCGATAAATTTTTTATGAAGTCATCTTCGATATCATTATTGGCAAAACCCGACATTCTTTCTTCGTTCAGTTTACTTTGTCTTCCTTTGCAACATCCCTACAAAGTGAGCGTAATGAACTCTAGGATTTTCGATTAACATAGGAAAAATGGTAAAAAGGGAAGTGAGATATTGTGCAAAGTTGGTAGATGTTGTTAGTGGTATATGATATTGAGCACATCAAATACCTAGATGGGGTTGCATAAGCAGCCAACCTTTCCTTTTAAGAAAATGATTTTATTAAAGTTCTTTTTGTTTCAGTTAAACCACGTGGCTTCTTCATTTTCTAGCTTTCTTTGACCATACGGTATATACTCGACGAAAGCCACTGTGGTCGACGTGGCCATGAAATCCCGGCGTGCACACTATCCCGGCCATTCGTGGTCGGGCTCGTTGTGGGTTGTGGTGCGTACCACGAAACCAAACGCCCAATCAATGCACTTCTCTCCATTTGGAACGGAAATAGTCGTTCAACGCTAAATTTATAAAAAAAAAATAGTTTTTTTAAACAACATTTTTTACCTATAAATACCAAATTTTTAACCCTCATTTCTTACGCCATTCATTTCTTTCTCTATACACAAAATACACAACATTTTCACAGCCATCAAAAATGGATCCCAACCAAAATACCCCCCCCCCCCCCCCAAACTTTAGAAATCGCAAACGGATAATGCTTTTGTGTTAGATACCACCCCTCACAAATTCTTGACCATGGAATCACCTCAAGGTGACTTTGTCAATTTGCTTCAAACCGGTTCCCCTATCCAACAAACACCATTTTTCCAACAACAATACCAACCTTTTCCGGACTTTCAACAACAATTCCATCAATTTCAACAATTCCAACAAAAGTTTCAGCCAGAAGCGTTACAACCACCACCTTCACAACCACAACAATCACAACCACCTCATTGGTCGGATTTCATTTCAGAAATGCAATTTTCACCACCACCTCAACCAAAAAAAAGAAAGGAAAAAAACCGACACGACCTACTACTACCCAAGAAAGGGTGGCATGGACAAAAGAGGAAGAATAAAAGCTAGCGGAGGCGTTGGTTTCGGCTTCCCAATACCCAATTTGAAGGAGATAATCAAACATTCAATTATTTTTGGGAGAAAGTTTGAAGCGTGTTTTATGCGTTAACAGGAAGTAAATATCGAAATCCTGATCAAATTAGCTCCAAGAGGCGGGATATACGACTAAAATGCACAAAATTTGGAGGAATTTACAACAACTCCAAAACATACGCAAAAGCGGGTCAAACGATTTTGATGTCTTCAAGGCGGCCTTGGACATAGTTGAAAAAACAATGTCAATGTAACGTCCGTAGATCCGGGCTAGTCAATTTAAAGACAATGAACACCAAAAATGAGTTTTTGATGGAAGATTATTTAGAAGGAATAGTCTTAATAAAAGTTTTAGCATATGTTACAAGGATTCCGTACATGTAAAGAACGCCGAAATCCGAGTTATAACGAAGAAGTTATGGCCCGTCGAAGTTTCGCGGCAAAACCGACACGACACCGGGAAACGTAAAATAGTGAATTTACGATAGAGGAATTTTTGGCCTTAGTAATCTAAACTAAAGTCGTAGAATATTTTAAACCGAGAGCGTCCATAAAAAGAACGCCCAAATCTGACTTCGTATGAGGAAGTTATGATTTTTCTAAGATTTGACATAGCAGTACACGACCCAAAACTCGAATTTTAGATCGAGCGGTTTTTGGCCTACGCGACCTAAATGAGAGTTGAAGATCTCATTAATAGGAACTCAACGGTAAAAAGACAGACGAAAACGGAGTCCGTATGTAGAAGTTATGAATTTTACGCGGACATTTAACAGTATAATCTCCTCGTACTGTTAAATTTAAGATCGGTCGAGAATTAGCCGACGGAGTCAAAATGAAATTGTAGATCTTATTTTTTACCTACGCGTGGATATAAAGAATGTCGAAACGGAGCTCGTATGCGAAAATTATGAATTTTTGAAAATCGACTGATTTCCACCCTGTGTGCGATGCCACGTGTTAGCACTTGGCTCAGACTTGGAGCCCAAGCTCACTCACGACGTGAACATCAAGAAATTCACGACGTGAATCTCCCTCCAGCCCCCTATAAATAAGAGGTGAAGCCCTCTTCATTCCTCACACCTCCCATCACTTCCCTCTCTCTCTAGAACCTCTCTCTAGCCCCGAAACCCCCTGAAAAGCCTAGGGAACCTCCCTAGCACGAGGCGGAAGCCCCAGAGTGCCCGACGGCTCCAAGAAGAAGAGCCTTTCGGCTCGTGAACGCTGCTCCAGTGGAGCCCGGTTTTGAGAAAAACCCGCTGCAAGCGAGTTACGTCTAACATATCTTTAGTATAGCTTATGTTTTAATATAGTAATGTTATTAGGACCTTATGATAAGTATTTGGGCTATTATTATGAGTTATATAAGTGTTGTTATAATGTCTTTTTAACCATTCACAGTACGGGGAATCTGGTTTGGAGGGCCGCTTGGGTTGCTGGATTCAGAAGTGCTATACGCCAAAATGATCCTGCCCTCCGGTGTTCCATGTCTGGCCCCTGTCTGTACATAGTGGGGGAACAATATTATTTAACGCTTATATAATAGTAATAATAGTGTAGCACCTGGTTCCTGGTATGTATTTTATTTAAGTATTTTTCATTTTTGGCCTGGGACTCGGCGAGTTGAAGGACCAACTCGTCGAGTAGAAACAAATTTGATTCGGGATTTAAATGACGGACTCGTCGAGTCGGCTTCAGACTCGACGAGTAGACTCTGACTGGACAAAACCCTAATCTAAGGGTTTGCACCCTATTTAAACATCTCATTCAGCCACCCTTCGTCCCTATTGCTTCCAGAAAACCCCCATAGCAAACCCTAGCCGTTTGTATAAAGAGCTAAGGCATTTGTAGTGCTTTTTGGTGATTTTGAACTCAAAGGAAAAGGAAAAGCCTAGAGGAATCAAGAGGAGACCAAGGGAGTTCAAGTTTGTGCACCATTTGCAGTTTACAGAAGGTATAAAGTCGATAGCTTGCTTGTTCTTTTGCTAGATCCCTTTTTGGGGAGATTTAGGGCTTTTATAAGCCATTCTTGGTAACCAACCATGATTGCAAGCATGGTTGGGGGTTGAGGATTCGGATCTAGGTCCATGGAGGAATTACAAGGCAGAAAGGGGCTGCTTTTGCACCCATGCAACCCAAGAGTCTCTTTTAGAGCCTTTTAGACTCAACGTCCCATGCATGCACATAAAGTTCGTAACTTTACGTGCTAGATCGAGTTTAGGGACCTAGATCTATCATTTGGACAAGAGTTGTACACCAAAAATCGAAGAAATAAGACTTGGACTGTATCGACTCGGCGAGTCGTTCTTGGGACTCGGCGAGTCCGAGGCTAGACTCCCCTTTTCTGTAATGGGTCAAGGAGACCCATTGGAGTGATGGAAAGGTTTTAGAGGGTCCGGAGGAGTGACCCCAACGTATTGGGATAAGCCATAGTCCTGGAGTTCATAGGACTCGGCGAGTACATGAACAGACTCGGCGAGTCCAAGGCAATCTCCCAACTCTTGAGGATGAACTCGACGAGTTCTCCATACAACTCGGCGAGTCGGATGAAGGTTCATCCGGGGTTGTTCTAGAAGGAGAACTCGTCGAGTCGTTGCCAAACTCGATGAGTAGAGACGTGAAGAAGGATAGATGAAAGGATAGAGACTCGACGAGTTGGCGGCCCAACTCGGCGAGTCGGGTCAACTGGAAGTTGACTTTGACTTTGTCTTGGACTTGGTCAGGGGTAAAATGGTCATTTTACCCTAAGAATAGATATCAGACTCTGACTAAGTGTTTTGTGGGGATTATAGCC